GTTCATCCGAAAAAAAGAATTTTTTTTCCTTGCGTTTGTTTCCAAAGTGAGTTGTGTCTTGATTGGTTTCCAAATCTTGATTGATTTCCAAGTCTTGATTGGTTTCCAAATCTTGATTGATATCTTGATTGATTTCCAAATATTGATTGACTTCCAAAGAACCTACTGATCTAACCATTCCCAAAACACTCCCAACCCAGTTTCCTAACCCGTTACAAAGACCTATCCCTATATTTTAGCCACCATTTCTCCTACTTTTTAGGATTTTCCTTAGCCCATTCATCTTATCCTCACATTCGCTCATCTTTTTCTATATTTTAGGGAGTTAGGCTGCCACTGGTCATCCTTTTTCAGGAGAGCAATTTGGACAGAAAAAAAAGGCAGACATGCTTCTTGGGTTGCATATATCAAGACATTCTCCAAGTTACTCGTTTGTAAGCAAGTACTCGATTTGAGGACAAATCGTCTTTCAAGAGGAGGGGAATGATGAGAACATGAAGAATTGGATTCCTTTCAAGTCCAAGAAAATTTATTTTATAAGTCTTCACATTCCAATGATGGTTGATGGTGCAATCGGGCTCAAGAATCATTGAAGATCCAGCCCTGTGTCATGCTTATTTCTTGTTATCATTTATTTAATTGAGTTTTCAGCAATGTTAGTTGTTAATTAGAGTTAATTTGAGAGTTAAGTAAGTTGTTTGAATTAAGGAATAAAAGCTAAGGTCATGTTGACCATAGTTAAGCCAATTTGAGTTAGTTAGTTTCCTATTCTAATTGAATTAGAGTTTTAGGAAAATAGTTAATTGCTTTCAAATTTGTTTAGAAAATTGTGTCAAGTTTAGAAGTCAAGTCAAGTAAGAAAATTTGATTTGTTTCCAACTTAGATTAGGTTTTTGAGTCTTGTAAGGCTATAAATATTATAGCTCATGATATATGATGGGGAAGACAATTATGAATAAAATGTGAGAGTTTTCTCTTTCTTGTTCCTTTGGGAACGTCCCTTGATACAAAGTGAGTTGAATCTCCTTTGTTCAAGTTTCGGCTTATCAATTCAAGACCATGTTGAATTGTAGCGCCATTCTACCGTTCTAAACAATCTCGAGCTGTCCTTGATTGGTTTAGAGTCTGTCTTTTGTACCCATAACCTGATCAAGATAGATCTTTCCGCTGTCTGATCAATTCAATTTCTTCTCGAGTGGTCCTTGGAGAATCGAGTTCGCATCAAGCTTATTAGACATAACAGTTATATTCCCCTAAATCATCCATCTTTCATGTAATGAAATAAAAAATTTACCACCAACTATCAAATTCCTCTCATTACACAACTTTACAAAATTTTACCATTACCGCCCACTCTAAATATTTACAATAATAACCGCACATAAATAAACAAAAAACAGAAAATATAAACAGCATCGAACAATCATAACATACATTTTCTCACCCAAAATATATATATAAAAAATTCATTTTCTCAAAAATATATATATCAACAAAAACTTCACACACATCCAATAAAGATAAATAACATACTTATCAACTACCATAAAATTAAATAACATAACACAAATACAACTACCATAAAATACTTATCAACAAAAAATCAATAACTATTTAATAAATACAAATTAATTATGCCACTTTCCATTACCTTCCATTAACTATATTCCAAAAATATTACTTCAATAATATTTCAAAAACTAAAAAATTCAAAAATATACAACCAAAAACCAAAATAAAAAAAAACTTTTCTCTAAAATTATAACCTACATTATCATTAAACAATCAACAATGGACACTCCGCGAAACTCACAGGGCACCAGGCCTAGTATAGGAAAATGAGCGAAAGGGTGGTTCAAGGATTTTAAAAGTTTTGTTACACAAATAAGAAAAGTAAAGAAGGTAGGTGATATTTTTAAAATCTTAGACTAAACTAACAACGTAGAGACCCAAGTCCAACAACCTTTCCATGTTACATTGGTTTCATAGGCATAGAGACTGAGTCCAGCAAAGAAGCACTGACTGGAAAATTAAAGGGCTGCCATTACGGGGAAAGAAGAGAAAGCAAATAAGGCAACTAATTCTGCATCGTGGAAAAAAGGCAGATGAATTGGAAACTCGGGAACATGTGCCAAACTTATGTGACCAAAATTCTATTAAAAAAAAAAAAAAAAAAGGGTCAGCAAATTGGTATCAACAAGTAGATGAGCTGTTTTGTACAAATTACACTGGTACAAAAAATTTTTCAAGAAAATGATGATATCTTGTTAAGAAATGAAAAAATCAGTGTCAATTCTTGGACGCCTTTCTTTCTATGCACCTCTGTGTAGGTCATTTTCTCAAAGAATATCTTATTTGGGATTCATCTACTTAAAAAAAAAAAATTTTTTTTTTTGAGCTTATCAATTCAAGTACACGACAATAAACTGATTTCACCCCTTGCGACATCATCTATCTTTTTGTTGTCTACTTCAAGTTTATGGTATATTGCCATGATTCATATTCTTCCAATTCTTCCAGGAAATGTGTACATATATTTCCATTCCACGTGGAAGTAACTCTAACAGTAAACATTTGATGGAATGATGGAAGACAAGTTTGCTTTGTAAGGTTGACTTTTGCAATTTAAACAAGAAAAACCATCCAAAGAAACTTATCATAATATATTTTCCCGGAGTTACATAATTTTGGCCACATTATCAGATATCATGTGCCCCTCCTTTAACTTGTTCCTCATTCTACACTTAGGTCCTATTTGATAACCCAGTTCAGCACCTAAATTTAATGGATTCAGATCGTTTGATAATCAAAACTTGAATATCTAAATTAATTAAGTGATACTAAATTTTCTAGGCAAAACTTACTCCCAAAATCAAGTGATAAACTACTTGATATAACATGCACTCAAATATATTATATTTAATATTTAATAATTTAACGAATTCAGATTTCGAATTTTTTATCAAACGCATCATTAATTATTTTCATAGATAAATCGCTATGTATAGTAATCTTGTTTGTTAGCTTTTGGAAGTAATCAATTTTGACCTTGCCACCAAACCTGGCACACGAGCATGGGGCAATAATTGGATCCGCGAAAGTTGGTAATTGATTTAACACAAGGACAAGGTACTGTTGTTTCCCAGAAGGATTTTTCTCTCTCTCTCTCTTTTTTTTTTGTTTGGACGGGTGGGGGAATCTTTACGTACTCTCAGAATTTATTATTAAAAATTTTGTGGATCTTTTGGACTAAAATCTCCATCCAAATCAGTCCTTTTTATTAAATAAACAATGCCCCTTTCTCGTCTTCTTGTTTTCGTATTGAACTTCTCTTGACACCGATGTCCACTCTCCCCCTAGAAAATGAAGTAAAAATAAATAAAGTAAATAAGAGAGGCTAAACTATTGGCGGTGGAAATCAAATCATTGCTGCTGCTCTTATCAATTAGTGCTGAAGAATTGCTGATGCGATCCTAAAGAATAGGATCTTGATAGGGATATTTTGTGTTTCCTGGATTTCGTTTCTATCTTGTATGTTCAATCTACGTTTAACTATCTCTCTCGTATATTGATTAATAATTTTTAGAATTTTATCGTGTATAAGTCTAACAATCAATAATTTTTACAATTTTATAGGGGTATAAGTTTAAAAGAGTTTTTCTAATCTATATTTTCTTTGATAATCGAAAGGTTTAATCTATTATATATATACACACATTAGTAATTACTATTCTCTCTGACATTTATATACTTTCTCTAATTAATCTTATCTTTTTAAAAATTTAATATCTGAAATACATCATTGGGCGCCCGTTAGACAGTCCTCTTATAAATTTGCTTTTTCTTTGTAACATTAAAAATCTAATTCAATTGAAAAGACTTTAATCTAGCTACCATTAATTGAGTCCTTTCATCTAAAGGTAAGTAGAGAAATTGATTTCATTTTTCAACCAATATATTAAAGGTATAAGAAGTAAGAAGACTTGGGAGGAAGCAAGAAGTATAGTTGGATGCATACACAGATAATTTTGGAGCTATAAGTATTTTATCTTTTGATTTTCTTGAATTCTCTATCTAATATTCTATTGATTTTTTATATCACAGTAGTGTCAAGTATTTGTTTTTCAAATCTATTTATATCCGTATATAATTGATGTAATTTTTAGTGCTGAAGTAGACTGCACACAAATTGATGTGACAAGCTAAAATTGATGTGACAAAACAAAGAAGCACTAAAATTGACAGTTTAGAAGTAGACTGCAAAAAAAATAAAAAATAAAAAAAATTCGAGGTACAGGTGTGCGTACTGCATTTTTGTTGCATCTTGAATCGTGGTCAAAATCGTAGATGATGCAAATTCATATTCATTCCAGCTCCGCAACGTGATTGGGTAATATATTCATCTGTCAACTTCGGTACCCCACAGTACGTGAATTTATTGATTGATTGATTTATTTATTTCTTCATTTTGAAAAAAAAAAAATGCACCAATGACTCAATGAAGAGATGATTTCATTCTATTTTTAATGACCTTTCTCTTTTTGCGGTTACCTTTTTTTATCCCATATCTATACTATAAAAAAAATTATTACAGTATTATTCAAAAAAAAAAAAGAAATCAAGTATATAATCTTCTTTCCAAGGTAACTAATTCGTAACTCAAATTAATATCTTGATTTCATTCCATATATGACGAAATTCGCTTATATATATATATATATATATATATATGGTAGCTTAATTAATGTTTCTTCTTTTTCCTTTCAGAGATGCGTAAGGCATCTGTCTTCGTTCCAACCGTGTTATATCGGTAGTTCAATTTTGCAAGGGCAGGTCTGCCAAACCTTAGTGGAAGTATACTTGTAAAGCCGCCTGCGGGTCATATCTGATCTTCACCTCCAACATAAATTTCATAAGATAAGATACACGAGTTGTTGTTCTTGAATTAGGGGGGCAAACCAAGAAAAAATAAGGAAAAAAGCAGAAGAACAAGAACAAGCATGGAGTCCACCCCAGAAAATGAGTTCAATCAGACTTTGCTAGAGCAGAAACGATCCATGTTGGAGGAAGTTAGCTCAGAGCTTGAGGATGTGCTATCGGATACAAGCTTGTCACGGTGCCAGCGTCTCTGGCGGGCCGTTGGCATTGAGATAAAGACTCTTTTCCGGCTTGCTGCTCCGGCATGTGTGGTTTACTTGCTTAACAACGTTGTTTCCATGTCTACTCAGATATTCTGTGGCCATCTTGGTAATATTCAGCTGGCAGCCTCTTCTCTTGGAAACACTGGTATCCAACTTTAGGGTAATTTCAACATTTTTGGAAGTTCTGTTACGAGTGACTATTTTCGTCACTTTAACACTTTAATCCAAACCATGAGGGGGTTGTGTATAGCATTTGAAATCATAAGGGGGTTATCTAAAAAAACGCTAAACGATAGGGGATAAAGTGTAATTTGCCTTATTTCAAATAATACTCTATCTAAACATACAATTTTGTTTCAAATATGGCATTAATATTTGAGATGGGATTAACATGGCAGCGTGAGGGTTGGGAATGAGCTAGGAGCAGGAAACCCAAAGTCGGCAGCATTTGCAGTGTTTATGGTGAATTTTGTGTCATTTGTAGTTGCAGTGGTGGAAGCCATCATCGTGTTGTCGCTGCGACATGTTATTAGCTACGCATTCACCAGTGGGGAAACCGTAGCCAATGCTGTCTCGGATCTTTGCCCATTTTTAGCAGTCACTCTCATCCTCAATGGCGTCCAACCCGTCTTGTCAGGTAAGAGTTTAGTACATCTTTTCAACAACATTTACCTCAGAGAATTAACCATATTGTTGTTAATCATACGTAGTTAAGATTCCAATCTTAAAATGTATTCTTTTTTTTTTTTGGGCTGTTCTTGATGGGAATAATTGGGATTAATTAGCGTATAAATGCATGTTACGTTTCAATAAACAATGATCCACATGCACATATACGACTCAGATTACTCATCCTAATTACTGACCAATTAATATAGGATAAAAATATGCGTAAGTGTGTCTTTCTCGGCTTGGAGACTTGTGGATTATATCTTTGTCTATGCTGTAGTAATCATGATTTGGCTCAACTGCTCATGCAGGAATCCAAGATAACGAAATGGGCAAGTTGAAGTCACTTTTGTATGCATGCACTCACAATTCTCTTTACGTAACTTCCTTTTTTTATATATATATATATTTTAAGTGTAAGTGAGAGATTCAAATACGGGATCTCTTATTACACTTTTTTTTAGTACTATCCAATCCGTCTCTCCTAGATCTGAAAGATTCTCTAGTAGGTGAAATATGCTAATTAATCCCCTATAATAAGATAGTATAAAGCATCTATATGGAAGGGTTAAAAAACCCCCAAAAAAAAAAAAAGGAGAGAAGAAAGGGAGAATCATCATCGGATGGTTAGAAACCTGATATGAAATTTCCTACCAAAAGAAAAGGACGTCTTTTTGCTTTCTTGATTGAGAAGCTGTGTATGGTCCTGAAAGGAAATGAAGCTAACATGCATGATGGGTGTAAATTGTACATATCCTATTATATTACATCAAAAAAAAGGAAAAAAAAAAAAAAGCCTTTTGTGACACATTGATTGAAACCTTTAGGTCCCTTAATTACCACTACAAATTGGCAACCACTGAGCTCCACAAAGCCATTCATGAAGACAGCCAAGACAACGACCAAAACTTAGATGATAAATGAATTAGTCACGCTAGCTGATCAATGAAATGTAGAATACAATACAGTACCTTTTTACCAACCTCTGAAATTCTTTGTTGATTGTCCACTTCAACCATAGATAATGCAGCAGCTTTAATTTATAAGTGCAATAACACCCGGCCATACATCTTTTCTTCCTCAGTTGTATTGACATCAATTCAAGAGACTCTTAATTTTTATGCATTGATTTTCATCAGGTGTTGCTGTGGGGTGTGGATGGCAAGCATATGTTGCTTATGTAAATGTGGGATGTTACTACGTGGTAGGAATTCCATTGGGTTGTCTTCTCGGCTTCAAATATAAACTTGGAGCTAAGGTATATGAAATTAGGCTTTGATTTCTTCTTACACCACTACTTCTTATACCTGAGGTATAGCTGATACAGGATCTTGAGTTGTGGATGGAAGGAGATGGAAATTTGTTATTGGTTGGCAACTTTAACCATTCCTACTTGTAGGGTATATGGTCCGGAATGATTGGAGGAACAATGATGCAGACACTTATCTTAGTATGGTCTACATTTCGGACGGACTGGAATAAAGAGGTTAGCAATAACTGGTTCATATCCGAAATTAGAACCTCTTTAGTTATGATTTTAAAATTTTCTCCTTTCATTTTTGTTTGCTAAAAAAGTTATTTACGGTTGGTTATTCAAGAAGGTTATATATGAATAGCTCAAAATTTAATTAATGAGTTTTCAGGTGGAGAAAGCAAGAGAACGTCTGCGAACCTGGGATGACAAGCAAGAACCCCTTTTGAAGGAGTAGAGGTTAATTATGATTGAATATTAAGGTGTGCGGACTGAACAGTCCTTGTATTTGTCCCGAATTACAATTGAGACTGCGGCGAAGTCCCATTGGGTGTCAATTCCCTGGCTTCCCCCAAATAATATATTTCATGGCTGGGAAAAATATGAGCATAAGCAATAGCTCATTGAGAAATCTAAGGAAGACAATTCTGAAGTTTATAAATGTAATTCATTGAAGGAAGAGAATAATGAAAAGGGGCAATGAATTTCCCATAAATGCCGTATGAATTAGATATTTTTTCGCCTGTTTTTCATAAATTTTAGTATTATAGTAGTGTATGAAAAATTGTTATTGTAATTGTTTGTTAGGGCGTTTTTAGAATTTCAAATATTGTTGGAGTATTTTTTTTTTTTTTTTTTAAAAAAACCATCCATCACTATTACTTACCACGACAACCACACCACCCCCTCCCTCCTCCTCTCTCTGTCTCTCTCTCCTTTTCTTCCTCCTCTCTCCTCCCTACTCCCTTGCCGGCAAAACCCTCCTCCTTCCTTCCAAAAGCCGCTCGCAACTGGAACTTCTGATTGCGGAAAGGGGAGAGGATTTTGGGGAAGGAAAGAAAGGGGAGAAGGGAGGAGGAGAAAGAGAGAGATAGGAGAGAGGAGGGAGGTGGTACTGGTGGCGGTGATTAGTGGTGCTGGTATTATGTGGTAGGAATTATTTTATTTTTTATTGCATTTGAGAATGTATGTATGGATCAAATACTTTTGGAATTGTATTTAGAATGTGTTATTGCAACATTGTAATTGAAAAACGTATTTGTGAATCCGAATAGAGCCGTTGTTCTTTTTTTTACCCAGTTTTTAGGACGTTAACCCCTTGGCCGGGGATAGAGCAATTAATCCTTATCTACGGTGATGGCCAGCACAAAGTCTGAATTTTCATTTTTTTTTTTTTGTAGTTGATCTTTTTAGTCGTGCTTAGGAAATTCCAGGCTTGAAAACCAAATTGAATGTGATGAATTTCAGTCTGAATTCTGGTGTTAATGAGTTACAAGCAACAACCATATTTGTGATAGTTTCATGGCAACAAACCATTGTTCTTAAATCGAACATCTTGTTTTTGTCATTGATGATCAAACTTTTTCTTTTTCGATGATCACTTAAACTTTAGAAGTTCAGATATGATAATAAAATTTACACATTGCACTATCGAAAAATTAAATTCATGCATGCATTAATCCCTATGATGAATTTTTGAAGAAGTATCGTAATTAATTGAAATTGTGTTCAATAATATGAAAAGGGTACAGAAAAATCAAATAATCTCAATGTTTTTGTACTTAGGTTTTTTTTTTTTATTATTCTTTTGTACTCAGTTTTAACAATGTGAAGCAGTCCTTTCTTCTTTAAGTAACAATATAATTCTAACTTCAAGACCTTTGTCTAAACAAGAGGAGGCAATGTGAGGAGGGAACAACTGAAACTTTTATCCTTGCACCGATTCCTTCTTAAATTTAGTTGAGAGGAGGGAAATATTCAGAATCCCCATCTCGCTGTAACTTGTAATCAAATACAACTATTTTATATGAATGTCCAGAAAAAGAGATTTAGATGAACGCTCAAGCAAATAAAGCCACAAATCTTTTAGATTGATAAATATTTGAATTTGTTATATACATTATTTACAATCAATTTGGCTTCCAAAATTCATGTTAAATGGATTTAGGCTGTATGTACACCATACAAAGCTGCATGAGAAAATAGATTACTTTTTTGTCCTTTATATCTCTCATCCAAATTTCTATGGGAGGGGAAAGCACATGAGAAAAGGAAAGAAGCATAATCAACGAAACTAACACTACCTATGCTATGAGTAAAACAGTGAGTAAGGCTTACTGTAATTACAAAATCCACAAGAAGTTACCTCAGAAGACTTGTGACTCAAGAATGGTTTACATCTTCCTCGAGTGAAGTATGGTAATCTCACCAAAACTGTTACATCTACGTCAGTATTTTTCCTCTACAAAAAAACATAAATCCACAAGGACTACAAAGAGCAGTAAAATTTTCAATCCTCTGAAATGTTGGATCTACATCTGCAGGTGCTAGTCCAACATGGTCATCATCTGTGTAAAGACACAGCTTAAGGGTCGTAGCACCCCAGACATGAGTATAAATGCCACCAGCATTCTGTATCCAACCATGGAGAGACCTTACAATGTGATGGCAGAGAATTATTCTGGATGAGGCCTGGCAATAAAAATACTATCCGCATAAATTCAAATTCAGTTGATCTGATTGCCTACCCAGGCTAATGCTGATCATTCCACTGGCATGCAGATCCTTCAGTCTGAATTTGGTGCATCATGCGGTGTTGGCAATGAAGACTTGGACCTCATTATACGTTTGCACATCCTGAAACACATATCATGCAAACAAATCACATTACACTGCAAAGATGAGATTAGAAATGCAATGATCACTTGATACTTCGAAATGTACAGGACACAACAGAGAAACTTATCATACCTAGAAACTTCAAATGATATTGCAACCAAGATATTCTAAACAAATCTTCCAAGAATCAACCAAATTAAATAATGAGCAAGCTCAACAAGAAAACACACATACACATCAAGAGCCTCAGTTCTTCTCCTAATTTCAGACGATGAGAGTGTAGGATCAGCATTTTTGGGTAATGAATCCTGCAGCTGGGTTCTCTCTCGAAGCCACTGCTCTGCTTTACTGCATTCGTTATATACCTGCAAAATGAAAGAGGTCAAGCAACTGAACGCTATAAAGACAATGCAAAAATATACACCTTCAAAATGATGCGAAAGTGACCGTACAGCATCTCTCTCACTTGGTGGCAGTGATCCTACAGCCATTCGATTCTCCACGATGCAATTTAATAAACTTCTTGTTGCCTGTGCCCTTGCCTCTTCATCTTTATACCGATGTTCAACAGGATTGACCATCTAAACAAAATTCTGACAAGGTTATAACATCCACCAAGAAGAAGCATGAAAACGTTACACTAGGGCATGTACACAGGAAGCACCTTTTTGAGGTCTTCAAGTTTCCCAGTATAGACGTGTTCAGACTCGTCATCTCCATCATCATACAGCCATTCCTCAGTCTGTTGCAGACTACTGGAAATTCCTTCTCTTTCTGCATCGGTAGCAAAGCTCCGATATGAATTTAAAAGCTGCGGATGTGATGTCATTTTCACACTAAAAGTGAGTTGGAGCATGAAAAGGATTAACCCCAAAAAAAAATGTTTGTGCACCAAAAGAGGACATTGATTACAGAATTTCATAAAGCAAAAGAAAAGAGCATTGATCTTTAAAAGTTCAAGAAGAAAAGTTCCTAAAAAGGATTGATTTCAAAAGTTCACCAATCAAAGAATACACGACTTAAGATGAACAGGAAGAAAAAGAAGCAGAAAGAATCTCCTCTTTCGGCTACTCAGAAGTTACATAATTTTGTATTCACTGACAAGTGTTTCTCAAATAAGAACAGTGAATGAACCACGTCAGTTGACAAATTCCAGAAGAAGAAGAAGAAAAACATGATGAAGGTGTTGTATGTTATTACTTTAGAACTAAAATAACATATTTTAGCTGGACTATCCCAAACTCCGAATTAAAGTATATAAGAAAAACAAAGAATGGCCCAATGGATACTAAGTCTTTCTTCGACTTTTCATCGCCAGGCATTCATTCTTAAATAGCTTGCTATTTGGCATAAATCTTTTCCCATCCAGTTTCAAAGAAATTTATCATCCTAGTGATAAAAAGGCGGACAGATTTGAAGCATTGACCTAAATAGATGCAAAATGAACAGCTCCACAGCGCCAAATTCCACGTCAAAGTGGATTAAAGGTCCTCAACTGTTTTCAGGCCAATCTTGAAATCAGAATGCTAATTGAAAGATGCTCAGTCAAGTCTTGGTTAACAAGATTACCCATCATGTGCGAATTAGTGGCTCCTAACAAATGCAAAGGTTTGACAGGGAGATGCAGCATTTATGTAAAGATAAGATTGAGTGGGCCTGGTTGAAGGAAAATCTTAATATTGTTTGCCCAAGGGATCTGAATAAACAAGTTGGATCTCAGCCAGCCCCGACTGCAGATACAATGACTGTGTTTACCTAGGTCTTGCCTTAGTGCGTGTTTCACCATTTAAGGTTTTTGCCAAGTGTTAAAACCATACATTTTTCACTTTCCAGTCAATTGGATCTGCCTCTACTCTCACTGCACTAAGGACAACAAACTTTCCAACAGTAAAATTGGGTCTAGCTAGTGCTAAATCATGTGGTGCGCTGGCAATTGTCCAGAGTGGATGGCTGCAGAGCTAGTATGACCTGGCATCTGGCATTCATGAGCTGAAGTGTACAAAATGTACAATAATGAGAAGTTGTCCATGTTGACACTGTGCTAATAAGTTTCTTAGCACTGTTAAATGCCAATGCATTCTTTTGTGCAAATGAAACAGTGAAAACAGGAAAAACTCTTATCCTGTTTACAACTTACTAGTATTTTCAGAGGAAAATTGGAGGTAACATAATGATGGATCATTAAGAAAGGGCTCCATCTACTTTCAATAATCTGAAAGCAGAATCAATTTGGCTCTAGAGTTATATCCTGTGGAAACTGTTAGAAACCCCTTGCTTTTACCCCCAAGCATTATGCATCTTAAACTGAAGAATCTACAAAGCAAGGTGGTAGCTGCTTGGTGTAGCAGAAATGGCATGCTCACAACTTCTAAAAGGGCCATTTTTTATGTTCTAAATGCATCCAACAAGTTCAATCAACGGTCTAGTACTTTAAGCAACCTGAATAAATTTCAAATTTTTATCACAATTTCTACATTGTGTCAATTGTCAAATATATTTTCATTGATATGCATTATTAAAAGTAACTTTCAAAATGTTCATCTAACTATTTTGGACATGCAAGAAATTAGAAATATTTGATACAATATCATGCATGCTCCATGATTTTTAACCATTTGGTTTAAGTGCCAAATATGAATTCCAGTTAAGAAACAATTTTTTCTGGTAGATTGTGACACAACTACGAATATAGTTGATTTGAAGTGTTTTCTTATGTCTTGTCCAAATTATTCAAGGAACGCAACTTAGAAGTATCTATGCTATGTCATATTCATTACTCCTGTACATGGTGTTCTTCTTGGCTAGTGGCAACAGTAGCTAAGGAACTTATAGTCTAACATTAAAAAAATAACAGAAAATGAAGATGACAGGAAGCAGATACAGCAAAACTTAAAGATAATGACAGGTGCAGCCTTTGGATGTTCCATAAATGCACCAGAAACAGGACCAGAATACCGAAGGAAATCCAACTGAAAGAAATTACACCAAG